AAAAAAAAAAAGGAGTGTGTGAAGAAAGAGGGAGTGAACCTTTTGTGCAGCCAATCGCCCACACAAGAGAGGTAAGGCAAAGGGAGGCGCCGGCAGGAGGAGCGTGTGCTCAGGGGAAGGACCCACACCCTGAGGCCTGCGTGTTGATGCTCAGTCACGGCTCGTGCAGGAACACAAAGAAATGAACACGTAAGTTTATGGAGCAGCATTTGATAAAGGGACTATTCACACAGGTGGCAAGGTTAAGGACAAACCGCTGGAGAAAGCACAGCACGGTATGACAGTGGCAACAACTGGGAGGCATTCCTGCCCCAGGTTTGAAGGGAGAGGAGGAGAAAAGCTGTGGAACGGGCAGTACCAGATGTCTCCGCGCCAGGCCTTATGCAATCCACATGGCCCAGAGAGGGGGCTGTGCAATGCGCGCTGGTCTCACCTTCGTGCCGGACTCTCCTCTCCTGCAGAGGGTTCCCTGTGGAGAAGCTCCGCAGAAGATGAATATTACAGCCCACAGCAGAAGAAAGCTTTATTTTATTACAATCCTTAGAAGAATATTTGAGGGGCCGGGGAGATGGCTCAGTGCTTACCTGGCAAATGCAAGGCACTGAGTTCAATCCCTGGTTCCACCAAAAAAAAAAAAAAAGAAGAAGAATATTTTATAACAAGTGGTTTCCAGGGCCGGTGAGATAGCTCAGTGGTCTAAAGCACCTGCTTAGGCAAGCTTAGGCAGGCGCAGGGGACCGCGCTTTGATCCCTGGCACCACGTGTTACAATAGCCCCACCCCCAGGGTGGGCTGAGCTGGCAAATAAATAAATAAATAAATAAATAAATAAAAGTGGTTTCCAAAATGTCGGAATTCTATAGGACGCCGTAGCATACCTAAGAACAATGCTACCAAACTGTAGGAGCTGCTACGGAATTGTTCACCCATGATTCTGTTTATTTTTCTATGTGGTGAGACGGAAAGTCTGCATAAACTGCTGGTGTGGGCTGAAGCAAGAGTTGTCCCAGGGGGAAAGTGTGGGTGAAGCTTTTGAGTTACAAGCTAAAGGAGCCACTTTCCTTATGGAAACTTATATTTTTTTCCTTGAAAGACTGACAAACTATCCTGGTACCACACACACACACACAAAGAAAAAAGAGAGTCTAAGGTGCCGTTCCGAGTGGGAGCCGGCGGGGGACTGGGCCTCCGAGCTGCACTCGCTCGCGCCAAGGCGCTGGCGGACGGATTCCCGCGGTGAAGAGGGCCGTGTCTGAGCCGCTGAGCGCTGAGGACCATCCAGACGCGGCGGGGCTGAGCACACGCGGACACCGAGCGCCGGGGCAGCACCGACCATGGCGTTGAAGCCGATTAATAAGGAATTTAGTGACTTGGCCCGGGACCCTCCAGCGCAATGTTCTGCAGGCCCAGTTGGGGATGATATGTTCCACCGGCAAGCCACGATTATGGGACCTAATGACAGCCCGTACCTAGGCGGTGTATTC